CATGTGTTTTGTAAACCTTATACTTGTATTCATGTGTGTTTTGTAAACCTTATACTTGTATTCATGTGTTTTGTAAACCTTATACTTGTATTCATGTGTTTTGTAAACCTAACACTTCTATTCATGTGTGTTTTGTAAACCTAACACTTGTATTCATGTGTGTTTTGTAAACCTTATACTTGTATTCATGTGTTTTGTAAACCTTATACTTATATTCATGTGTTTTGTAAACCTTATACTTGTATTCATGTGTGTTTTGTAAACCTTATACTTGTATTCATGTGTGTTTTGTAAACCTTATACTTGTATTCATGTGTTTTGTAAACCTTATACTTGTATTCATGTGTTTTGTAAACCTTATACTTGTATTCATGTGTGTTTTGTAAACCTTATACTTGTATTCATGTGTGTTTTGTAAACCTTATACTTGTATTCATGTGTTTTGTAAACCTTATACTTGTATTCATGTGTTTTGTAAACCTTATACTTGTATTCATGTGTTTTGTAAACCTTATACTTGTATTCATATGTTTTGTAAACCTAACACTTGTATTCATGTGTTTTTTGTAAACCTCATGTGTGTTTCATATTATTTAAGGTGTTCAGGTACTATATATATTATGTAATAGTTATTAGACGTTTATTATTGTTTTTGTGACTATTGCTGTAAACAACACATTAATATATTTATGTGTGTTTTGTAAACTTAACACTTGTTTTCATGTGTGTTTTGTATACACGTGTGTTTTGTAAACCTTACAGTTGTATTTATGTGTGTTTTGTTAACTTTACACTGTTTTGCTTTGTTTTGTTCAGGATGATGTAATTTGCTCCTCTGTAAAATATGTATGTTTTTTTGTAAATATAAGTTTGTTTCTCTCATTTTTGTCAGTGGGATATTTTCAACAAATTACAAATCCACCTTAACGTATATTGCCGACAGGAAGACCATTCAAAGCACCATACAAATTAAAACATGTATTAACGCAAATATGATGTCACAAAAGCGCTTTGCAGCTATATGGGGCGACTGGTGTATTTTTGTTCTCAAATCTACAACCCCAATAGTTTCTAATGGCCTCTCACAGAAGCGTATTGCTTCTTATGGAGCTGCGTTGCTATGGAAGTTCACCGCTCATTTGCTCTCTGTTTCTCTTATCATAGACCTGACGTTTTAAAAGAACATTTTCTTGAAGCTATGAGAAAAGTTTGCCGTTTGATAGCGTTAGAAGGAATATTTTGCAATTAAGGCATTTCAAAATGTGTGGGCAGATGATCTTGTTCTGGAAAAAAAAGGGTTTTGATCAAATCTTCAGTTGGAGAGATGACATCAGAAGTTTTTAATTTCCCATCTGGACTTTAAGCGAGGAGAGTTCTCGCTTGCGCATGCGGGTAGACGTCCATAGTGCGTCATTGTTTACTAATAAGCGTCTATCTGACAGCATTTGCGTTTGCGTTCAACTAGTAGGTCAGGTTGGTTGCTCTTTTCTAGCATTTTTTTAATTTCTTCAGCCATGTTTGTATGGTCTTTAGTATAAATTTGCTTTATAAGGGGTGAGTACAATTGTTGGAATAGTACATGTATTTCGAATCTCTTTTTTTTTACATCATGTGTCATCTTACTTTTAGGAATCGTGAGTCCGATAGACCATTCGCGCGTTTTGGTGACGGTGTATTGCTGTGCCCGATTACGTCACAATTTGTAGCTTCGTAAGAAAATTGATCATGGAGCGTACATGAACCAAACGAATGCAACCTTTTAAGAAATTCGTGTTGTTTCAAATCTATCATTTACCTGCCACGCATACCACTTCATAATTGTCTACATATTGCTTGCACCTTGCTTTCTTCTCTCTCATTAGTGTTTTCCCCTAATTTATCCTTCAACTTTCCAATAACTAATTTGATTTGTTGGAAGAGGTTTTCCGGTGCTGCTTTGACCTTTTTAACTTAAATATGACGTTTGTGTTCGTCGCGACAGAAATCAATCTGATTAATTAAAGTCTTTATTTTATTTTATTTTATTTTGTTTTCTTTCTTTTTTTTTTAAATTAAATTTAATTTAATTTAGAAATAAAGATCTTATTTTCATCACATTTAGCATAAATCGAAGGCACACCTCTTGATTATTGTTATAATTTTAGTTACTGTAAAGGGTTAATTATTCACCGGGTTTTAATTTTGCATATTTCGCTGACTGAAAAATGCGCTAAATTAAGACCCAGTGAATATATACAATTTAGCATA